AAAAGTAAAAAAAAAAGTAAAGTAACAGCCTATACATGTCCCACTGCTGGGCAAAGGCCTCCTCTATACAGAGGGTATCAGGGCATAGTCCACCACGCGACCCCACTGCGGATTGGCGGACTTCACATATATTCGAAATATATATATTTTTTTGTTATTATTTCGAAAATATGCAGGTTTCCTCACGATGTTTTCCTTCACCGCGGAGCACGTGATAAGTCAGCACTTAAAGTTAAACTTCATTGGTGCCGGCACCGGGGATCGAACTCAGGTTGCTCGAGTACATTGAATTAAGGCGAGCGCCCGGACACTGAGCTATCACGGCTGACAATAAAATATAACTTTAAATACGACATTCATAGTTTTGCCTTCTGGGAAACAATTTCTATGGGTCACACAAATAATTGTCCCGTGTGAGAATCGAACCCACGCCGAAGGCAATGCCTTGACAACTGCGCAATGGTCAGTGATCTAGCGAGTGATATTCGCGAAATAAACACAAAGTTGTCTGAGCCACACCCAGTGACGATCTCAGCTTGAATTATGTGCCTTTGTAGAGAAGTTACGTTTATATGAAGTTGAAACTGGAATTCGCCATTGCACAATTTTACACCGACATTGCGCGGGATTTTATAATTATGCAGAAAGGTTGGTCATTGCTTGCAGTGAGCATAATGCGTTCACAACCAAGAATTATCCTGATATCATCAGAAAAATTCTTGGTTATGTTTAGGTTATGGTTATCTTTAGGTTTAGGCTTTAAGTTCAGTATTTGGAGAACTTTCAAGTGTTCAACTTGAAAGTTCTCCAAATACTGAACTTATCAGTTTGTTTTCGGAGAAAACGACTTTACCAAATATGTTACATTCTGCCTTCTCAAATTTATACAGAACATCGGAAAATTCTTGGGCATGTAAACGGAGTCCTCACGTTAACTGTCAACCGCAACTTATGAGGCATTTATTTCTTCGCTTTAGTCCCCTGAGTAATGAGAGGAAAGGTTTCGAAAGCTCTAGAGAAAACAACTGTGACGTTCCCCATGGGCCTTTCATCTCGGTGTATGTACTGTGTGTTCTGTCAACGGCCTCTATCGGTGCTCAGTCAAAATTCACTCTCAGTTTACTTTTTTAACTTTACTTTACTGTCTGTAACCTATAACTGACTCCAATGTGCGAGATAATGAATGGCGTCTATGGCGAAATGGGTATCAGCACTAAGTCGTGTTTGGTTTTCATTAGATTGTTGAGATCAAATCGTTCTCATTCTTTTTAATTCTATCGAGGCATTTTTGTAATAAATACTAAAAGGTTAATTCAATTATTTATTCAATTACTACGAAATAAGTATCTTAATTACAAAAAAAAATCAGATACAATTTGTGAGTCAGTGACAAAAAAACAAATATAATTTCCACTGTGGTATGGATGCAAAATAATATCCAAATATCCTAGCCTAACCAAATCAATATTCCTAAACATTGACGGATTTGTCCGTTGGTCGCCTTAGTCTCATTAAAGATTAAGAGAAAAGACTCGCTGAAAGGCACAAAAAAATTAAACAAATAAGTACATGATATTATGGAGCCGACGATTAGTACCTACTTATCAAGCCCGCTTGATTTGTTACAATTTTCATGGAATATCGCCTAAGCAAAGAAGCGAGAGGCGAAAGGCAAGCAACGCTACTAAAAATCGTAGCTATCGTACAAATGTCAATCGAAGAAATTCGCAATAATATTATTAAATTAACTTGTGAAAATATGTATACAGCGCATTTTATAAATTTAACAACGCCATCTAGTTTTTGCACGGAAACTAATTCCTTATCTTATCGTAACTTACCTATGCTGGACTATAATTCTATCAATTGAAGAATTTGTTAATAAATAATAAAAAAAGTTTGATTTTTTTATTATGACACTGAAAATTCACGTTATCGTGTTTAAAATTTTATCACTGATACTACATTTTTTATGGAAGGTATTTTTTTGTATTGGGAGCTACTATGTCATTTGAAAAAAAATAAAAACTGTTCCAATTGATCCAGTAGCTAATAACGTATACATTCTGTTTAAGTAATCTGATTACGATCAAACGACACTTAAATATTGCGAGGAAGTTGTACTGACACGCTGTCAAAAACCCCGTAAAAACGATCCTATGTTTTGTGAGTGTTCACATAACTTTTTGAGTGAACCAATTGCAATAAAACAAAGCTTTAATGTTGCACAAATTTAACTTTTAATACTTTCAAATACACCATACAAATTAGTACAGTAGTTGGATAACCGTGATAACTAACTGTTTGCGACTGCACTGCTTTAATCTTAGAACTCCCATAACAACTGTTTGAGTGAACTGATTGAGATGAAACAAAGCCTAGATGTCGCCCCAAGCTTCGCTTACGTAACCAGTGAAAACTGCATCAAAATCCGGTAGTTTCCGAGAAGACAAACAAAAATTCCAAAAATGGTTTTTATATTTCCTATAACTCTTTTTAGGATACCCTATTTCATTTTTTCATAAATATATATTCAGTATACAAAATCAAATCAAAAATATATTAATTCACATAGACGCTTGCGCGTTCTTATGAAATATCAAAAATTTTACATAAAAATTAATAGTACGTTCGTAAGTCACCACCGGTTCACAGACACGCCGAGTGTACTCTTTTGTAGTAGTATAGATAATCCCGATCAGGATTCGACTTGTATCAACTGATGTTTGGACTGGAAGTACAAACATCAGTTAATACAAGTAGAATCCCGAGTTATTGTATAAACTTTAAGAAATGTCGGCGAGGATGACCACAACTTATGAAAAATATAAATATAATATTATTTTAGAATAAACAAATCAATTAAAGGAAAAGGCATGTGATTTTCATTGTATCAAATTTTTAAAAATACAGTATTTTTTCGAAATATACTGTATTTTTTAGCTGGCAGCACTGTAATTCTTCCGGATCTTCTGTCGCGATTCGGTCGTGATCTGCATGCTCTGACTCTGGATTAAACTGATTAGTGATATGTGATTACATTCTCTGTCTGTAGTCTGATAAATAGATAATACCTTATATTTGATCTGTTACATCACAATAAGTCAACATGTTGTTTGTCAAAACTTCATTTCGAACCGCGTATTTTAAAAGTAAATGCTTATTTCCTTGTAGATTTAAATTGTTTAGACTATAATTTCTCACGAAAACTAGGGACAGGTGATCAGACTTGTACTTTTAATTTGAAATGCCTAAAACATGGTTTATTACCTGTGAAATTTGTGGAAATCGAGCATGTCGTTCAAATCTCGAAAAAAAGGATGTTTATGTCGAGATTTCCCCTTAGATGAAACCCGGTAAGCACTTAAATATGATACTTTGCAGCCATAATATCGCACATACAATTATGTAAGTAGAGCAGGCTAAGAACAAATAAAATTCACAAAATGTCCTTTAAATTGTGTGCTAGTGATGTACTGCAACTGTAATATCCACATATCGATAACATCCTTATTTTGATCATTGAAATAAGATATTGAGTGGAAGAGTAGGGGTAGAATGTTTTACATATTTGCATGGCGTCCCTACATAAATGAGCAAGGATCGGTATAGGCTGTACAATATTGTAGGATTTAGAAACATAATCTTTATAATATTGATATGTCACACAATTGATTTCGTGTGCCGAGTACGCAAGAAAAACTTTGTAAGCTCTAAGCAAAGCCTGGTAATTATGTGTTTGAACCTAATACTCCTGATACCAATATAGTAGCGATGATAGGCCCACAAAAATTTGGACGGAGCAAACATGCATTAAGTTTTATATTATTGTTTACAATTTATTTACCTACTTTGATCTTCGGTATCAATATTTATGACTTAAACGGAAAAACATTTATATAATTTTAATTTAAAAAATTTCAGAAGCAAACAGTGGGTCAAACTTGTAGGAAAAGAAGATTTAGAATATTATATTCCCATTGAAAAGTTGCATTCATTAACATATGTATGTGGAAACCACTTTGACGACAGAGCATTTAATAAAAAAATCGCCTGAAAAATAGTGCCCTACCATCAAAAAAGCATTATACAATATGTTGATAGTTGATTTGAAGATTCCGAAGCCCATACGGTGTGTGAAGATTTTGATGATTATTTTTTTATTTAAAAATTAATTTTCGTTTGAATATGTAATTTCATTAAAATAATAAAATTTTAATTAAATTAGCAGAACCTGTTTTTTATTTTATTTCGGGTCCCCATTTAAGTCCAATCTTATAGTAGTACCAAATATCCCTCATCAACATTGGACACAAAAAATAATAAAAAAATATTAAGTGGAAAACTCTGTTCCTACCTAGTATATTTTATAGATATCGATAAGAAGCTAAGCTAGCTTGGTTAAGCACTATTTGGCTCGTTACGTTGGTACTCCTGTTGTTTGACATCTTTTTTGGTATTTTTAGGGTATGGTTGGTATTGGAGTGCCGCGTAAACTGATATTTTTAGCTAGTATGGAAGTCCCGTTTCTTAAAAGTCTTAAACGTAGTGGTTATATTCTCTCTTTGTTAGTCAATCAATTACATTCTCCCTGATCTGGAAGCACTAGGAGGAGCAGTCAGTCTGTTTAAATGTCTTATATATGCAGTAGATGTTATAAATATATTACCCATGGTGTATCATAATTCATAAATATAATGTTGAAAAACCATTTTCATGTTAAATTAATAAAAATAAAATTTTAAAGGGTTTAGAGATTTGAATAAAATCCATTTGAATTTTGTGCCTCAGTTTTGAATTGTTAAATCATTAGATACGTGTTAATTTACGTTAATTTACGTTAATTTATATAACTATAAATTAACGTAAATTCGCTGAAAACGGTATGTAAAACAGTTTTTACAAGTTCGCTCTGAAAGTCTGAATAATAATTGTTCTTAGAAAAATACAGGCAGGAAACAAACCTAATGTTTATACTTAATTATTGTTAAGCAAATAATATGCTCTTTCTACAAAGAACAAATTGTATCGTACGGAGAAAATTGTGAGTAGTACAACAAAAATAATTTAAACCTTTATTTTAATGTTTAAGTTTTAACTAAATACTTGTTTGATGTTTTGCTTTTATTTATAGCACGATTTTCGAGATAATTTGAATAGGTAGGTAATAAGTAAATACTAGAAGGATTTTCTGCGGAAATTTAGTTACGAGAAATTATTTTTTAAGTTTTATAGGCTAACTACTAGGAATCGTTTTGAACAGTATTGTTTCGTATTTCGTTCCAAAAGATTTAAATTTAAAACATTACAAAAATACAACTTAGTAGTTATATCATCTTTGAACGTTTATCCAGACCAAAAATACTCTTAAAAAAAATGGTTGAGGAAATATAACAGAGCTATAATATATTTTTAATGGTCTTTCAAGTTGCTTAAGTTTTTGATATCATCATTATGGTTGACAGCCCAAATCAGAGCAATATGACTCGGACAGGTTAGGCTTTGTGGTTATTTTTTTTATAACCACACAGAAATAGAGCCCTATGTATCAGAGCTAAGAAAGAACCTATACCTACCACCACCTGATTCTAAGTAAACACCACCATTTCATCATAGTAACATTGCATAGGTTAGGGTAGTTTTTTTAAATATATTACAACAAATATATTACTATACATTTCCACTCCCCCCTCTTACACGGGATTCACCACTACTCCCTCACCCACCCTATGTATGCATGACATTGATAATAAACAAATGTTTAATATTATCAATCGTTTAATCTAATTCAGTCTCATAAATTATGTCAACAATACTTTTAGAGCAGTTAACATCCAAAAATATCTCTTTGGATCAGCATGTACCTTACAACAGAATCAAAGACAAGCATGGGCAACAACAACTGTAGACCCTATGGATGTAGAAAGGCATGGACAGCTTATGAAGCATTGGTGGGATGAGAATGGTGCGATAAAAGCTCTTCATAGCATGAATTTAGTCAGGTATTAAATTATTGCCAATTTTTTTTTTGTATTCTAAATTGTTTTATAAAAATGTAACCTTTCTGTAAAAAAAATATCAGCCCCCAACTCAACTGACGGCAATGGAGAACTGAGCCCTTTTTATAAAATTAATAAAGATAATTTAAGATTGCACATGAAATTGCTATGCAGATGCAAAAACTGAGATTTTTCAATATGAAGTTGTGTTATTACAAATACTAATTAAGAGAATAAATATTTCAACAATTGCTTAATTTCATTCTTGTTATTACAAGATGAAAAGTAGATCCTTTTTACTTTGATGCAATGCATACAATGATTTCAGAGTGCCATTTATAAGAGATGGACTTGTACAAATTTCACCAGATGAAAGAAATGCAACACCGTTAATAAATAAGAAAATATTGGATGTTGGATGCGGTGGAGGAATTCTATCAGAGGTTGGGAAATAAGTACACTCATCTATAACTCTAGTTGAAAATACAGAAGGACTAATATTATGCATGCTTCATCAATCGTTTTAAATGGCAAAACATGACTAGTTATGCAGAATGTTTTTGCACTTAATATAATCCAGAAAACTTATTTAGTTATTTTTTCCATACTGTGTTCTTTATAATTGAATAATTTGTTATAATTTAATTTATTAATCTAAGAGTATCAATTATTCTTATGTTTTATTCTACTATATTCTATTATACTTTACTAGCGACCCGCCCTGGCTTCGCATGCTGAATGTTTGTTTTCAACATCACATTAGAAACCTCTAAAATTATCAGTGTTTCTCTGCTATATTATGCATGCATTACACATATAAACCTTCCTCTTGAATCACTATCAATCATAATCTGTTGCGTAGTTTTAAAGATCTAAGCATATATACAGACAGACATAGTGGGACAACTTTGTTTTATACTCTAGTGTTTCTCTTTTATTGAAATCTTTCTTAATATCAGGTAGGAACGAAAAGTAAACACATTTTAAAATTGAGCATGATTATAAAGTTCCAGTGATGCCATACATCTGTTTCTAGCTTCTAAAATATTTTTTTTTAAATTACACATGATTTTAAGAACTGTCTCTTTGTTTGTCATGTTTTATTGCTTTGATTACATTTGTCTGCCAATTGTTACATCATTTATTGGGATCTTGTGGAGTTTAAAGACAAACAAAATTATATGGGATATGTGGTTTAGATTTGAATTGATGGTACTTTCATTCATGGTGTTTGTCGGGGTTTGTTAAAATTCTTCTGTAATAGTTTTTCCCCAATATATCTTCTTCATTAATGCTAAGTGGTCTTCTCTCATATTAATTGTTGATTATCTTATTCTTATCCTTTAAACGAGCAATTCTTGTATATATATACAGCGTGTCGTTACCATCGCGACAATAAATGAACACACGTCTAACGCTACTTGCCAATAAACAAATATTAACATTAAACAAAATCCATAATTAAAAAAAAATATTTTTCAAACAAACTAATTAAGTAAAAAAGAAACAAAATTTGTAACATCCTATACAACTCGCGCCACAGCGTCGTTTTACAAGCCTCTCCTTCTAACAGTATGTTTTGTCTCTTTTAAATTCATTCAACCCATTCATATGCTTTGTGACCTTTACAAATGAACTTTACGTTACGCTTTTATAGGTAAGGCTGTTCTAAAATTTTTTTTTGGAAAATTTAATTGTAAATATTGATGCTTAAAAAATTTAAATGTTTAATACAACTTTAAAAAGTTATTCCCTATATGTGTGTTCATTTATTGTCGCGATGGTAACGACACGCTGTATATATATATAAATATATAAGCGGAATCTCTGGCTCCAGCGATTTTCATGAAATTTAGTATGTGCGTAGATTCGGGGGCGAAAAATCGATCTAGCTAGGTTTCATTTTTGGAAAATGTCCTTTTATCCCTGTTTTCAGTTACACACTCTTTTTTTTTTACTTTTTTTCGATTCCAAATCTTTGCTTTCTTTATTTTTTGTTGATCCAGATGATTTTGTTATTTTTTCCCCTTTTTTTTAAAGTTGTTTCTTTTGTGAAAAACACCACTTCATATTTTCTTATTATTGGGTCGGTAAGATCGAAAAATATTATGCATATTTCATTACTCAGTAATTTGTATCTAAATGTAATTTCCAAAAGACACCATTTACCGAAAAAAAAAAACAAGCCGAGCAAAGCTCGGTCCTCCAGGTACTATTATTTAAGAGTGCATTTTGTAGTCAAATAATGTTCTTCCCGTTTGGTGCCTGCTGATCTAACTTGGAAGTCTTTAAATAGAAGTTGTCAGAGACATGGCTTTTGTTGATTAGATGTATGAAATAAATATATTTTTTACAATGTATAACAGGATGAACTCTTTGCATTGGGCCTAGTAACTCCCCTCAATAAACATTAGGCTTTTTGCTGCTATTGTTTTTAATGAATAAACATTTTCATTGGAAATATCTGAATGATATGATTTCATTTTAAATCAAATTTACATTTGGATATTTTAATACTGCACTGAGAATGATATTTTATTTAATAAAATTTTTAGGGGTTAGCACGATTAGGGGCAAATGTTACTGGAATAGATGCTGGTAAAGAATTGATTGAATTAGCCATCAAACATAGCAAAGTGAATCCAAAACTGAACAACAATTTGCCTTCATACTTTTGCACAACTATTGAGGTACAATTTATTTCTAATTTTCAAAAATTGGCATCGGAACTTGTTAAAAACTTGTTTAATACTTTTCCTACAAAATTTCAGGAGCACTGCCAAGAATTTAAAAATCATTACGATGCAGTTGTAGCATCTGAAGTAATAGAACATGTTTATAATAAGGAACTTTTTGTAAAGGCATGTGTTGAAACACTAAAACCTGGTGGAAGGATATTCTTCACCACACCAAACAGATCAAGAGTGACGCAGTTTTTAGGAATATTTGTAGCTGAATATGTCTTAAATAGTATACCTCGTGGAACTCACCAATATGACAAATTCATGACATCTCCTGAACTAGCTTTTTTACTAGACAGAAGTAAGTATAAATATGGCATTTTATTTTGTTCAAATGTGAATGTTATATTTTATTTTATTTATGTATTTGTAACACATAATTTTACTCAGACACATTCAGTTCTTGATGTTGGTTAACCAATGTCAATAATTTAAAACCTCAAAAATTACTCCATGCCCGACTCTGGTGCCACCTATATACATGTGATTAAAATACGTGGGCTTACTTACTTAGTGTGGGTATGTGATATCGCAAAGGCGTTACAAAAAATCTGGCACAACTTAATAAATACTCACTAGCACTATTCTTACGAGAGTACTAATCGAACCGTCTATTTCACTTTCAAGTCGAAAATATCCCATATCCTGCCCATTGTGAGCTAGCGTTCCCTAAATATTTTCCCTGATCCTCTATTCCCTATACTCCAGCTACATCCTTAGAACTCCTAAGACTACTTGTATAATCCACTGGACATCCTGGTGGAGATAAATGCGACAGTTTATACTCGTTTGATACACACGTGCGTTAGAGGTTAGGCTCAAGCGACTGCAAGAGCTGACTATTGTCAGCGGAATTAGCGCTAACTATTGTCACCGTGATCCTTTCGGAATCCTAGCTAAATGGAAAGAAGTATGCGCACGTCACCTTTTGGGTTATGAGGGTACATCCAGCAGCAAGTACCTACGACGCAAGCTACTACTGTGATGGGGACCCAGATTCCGCACAACACACTTGTTGATTGCCTTTCTCCATCAATCCAAAGTGGGTGAGCTGGGGGAAAATCTGCTATTTATTATAATCTACTATAGCACTGATCCCCTTCATGGCAGCGGGAACGAGAGAAGAATAACCCAGTTGGGTTTTTGTGATCGGGAGAGGGGCAGGAGTGTCAGGGGAGTCCCGGTCAGAAACTGTTACCCACTAAAAATCCACATTGCACCTTTCTTTTGTGAACGTGGGGGAAACGCCTACGTATACCCGCGCTCGCGGGGTCAAGGGCGGGTTATGTCGGACTCGCACCGTCTAAAACCCCCACGATGTTCTAACTAGGCGCTTAACGGCAGGGCCACGGAAACGCTTTCGCAAACCCTGCTAGCGCTGGCTGCCACAACAGTCCCCTCCCGGGGAGCAACTCCTCCCCTTCACCGTAGATGACCAAGCCACGGCTACTAAGCCCCTCCGCCACGGAAAGACGAACCCGGTCGGATGTCTATGTTGCACCTGTCGCATCGGCTGGGGACACGGGAACACATAGACGTAATCTTTCGCGACCCCGGCGCCTCTATGGCCTCTCGGGTACAAGTCACCCGGTCCAGCCAAATAGTGCTGTGCCGGTGTAATTAGCACAGCACCACTTACCGAGTCCCATATTGAGCGGGAAACGCCCACATGCCTGTCGCTCAGAGTCTCCTTCCGGGTGTTAGTCCTCACAAGATACGAAGACAGCACCCCACGCCGTCTCGCTGTCAAACATGGCACGAACCAGGGCAAAGAGCGAGATTTCGCGGCCTATGAATCCACTAGAGCTAGCTAGACTAGCCGTCTTGGAGCTCACAAAATAGGCCTAAGGTATCCTACGCCTGTCTGTCTGTGTGTAAAATGTGACCCAGTAGGAGCAGAAGAGCTGAAAGGCAATCAGGGAAGGTTTTTCCTTCTTTGAGACGTACTTATGCGCAGTACCGAGGCGCACTGGTGCGATCCGTAATTGATACCGGAGCCTCTCCAAACGTACTGAAAATGGCCATGGAGAGGTTTTAGAGGGTATACACCCATATATATACTGTCCTCCCCCGGGTGAAAGAAAAACAGTGCATTGCATTAAATTATTCACCAAACCCTGTTTCGTGGGAAAGTTAAATACTTGATAGAAAAAACACGTTCAAACAGCACATTACGTAGCTAATGTCTCGCCTAACACCGCTCACCCTGTCCAGTAAAATGGCACTAAAACACAAAGTTAATTTATACCAAACGTATACTTCCCATAATAACACACCAGTGTCTAAAATGCACATATTCCCGATGGCTGCAACCGGCGCCTCGTGGTATAAACGGAACACCACATGGCATCGCGACCTAAAATCTCGATGCTGTCCATCTTCATACAAGCGTCGATCAGACACTTCGTTAGAGAATGCGAATACAAGTCGGTTGGCTAAATCCTGGTTGGGCACATAGGTATGTGCCCAACCAGGCTAAACATTTATGCGATCCCTCCGATGAACAACGCACGCATCAAATAATTAAATTACCCCACCACCACTCAACGTTCGCCCAGCGTGTTTTCATCGATATTGTCTCCAAGAACAAGTCAATGAATGACATAGCGCTACCACGTTTATCGACACATAATCACTACTTCTTACACGACACATAATCTTACGGTGGAAGGGCCACGCAACAGCCTCGGCTGTTACACGAATGGGCAGGCTCGTCCGGGAAAGTACCACGACCTCACAGAAGACCGGCGTAAAGTGGAAGTATAATACATCCGCTTTTCGTCTGGTAAGTGAGGTGGCCGTAGCCCAATATTTAAAAGGTTGTCAACGCATCTGGTACCCTCGGGTGTCGCAGATGTTCATGGGCGGCGGTATTCACTTAACACCAGGTGAACCGTCTGCTCGCTTGGCAACTTTTCGCATAAATAAAACATCTTTAACCATAAGATCACACGGAGCCCGCGCCTAATATGGCCTAAGACGGCATTGCGCACAATGCATAGACTTATTACTGCGCACAGCGCGTTCGCCGTCAGTGTTGATCTACGGATTTGACCTGGGTCTTTCACTGCTGGCCGTAAGAGAAAGTTCAAAATCCTTCAGCGGACTGTGAACTGGGCTATACTTGGTGTTTCTCTGCGCGATAAGGCAGTAGAACAAAGGTTATCGCCATAGGTCAAAATATTAGTAAGCTGAAGTGATAATGGACCGGTCATATAGCACGATAACCGATGGGGCAGACGGGCGATAAAAAGTGACAGCCACCTATTGTATATTACTTACGTACTGCATATTAAGTAATTATTTTACTTGTTTGTATTTAACGCTTAATATAAAACATATATGTTAGTTATAATTAAGGAATAAATCGTTTTACTTAATTTGTTACAGATAATTGCCATGTGGAATTGTCATATGGATTGTCCTATAATCCGTTCTCTAATCGGTGGAAATTTGTAAAATCACAAATTCTCCTGTTTGCAATGCAAGCCGTTAAGCTTGCGTAATTGATATCTTCGTTTTATTTTTAAGTGTATGAAACAAATACAAGAAGTGATTTATTAAAAGAAAATTACGAATTGTGTCTTTTATTTCTATGTTGTAAACGCTTATTCCTAATAAATATATTTCCACCGAATCCTCAGCTGAATATTATATCAGTTGAGTATTTTTTTATGTTCGTATTCAGTTGAATATTCGGTTATTTTGCTTAAAAATTAGCGATTATATAAGTAAAAAACGTAAAGTAGAGTAACAGCCTATAAATGTGCCACTGCCGGGCAAAGGCCCCCTCTGTACAGAGAGTATTAAGTCACAGTTTCTGTGTCAAACACGCGACCCCACTGCGAATTGTCGCTGCCACTGATGACCTTCGAAACCTTTTATATTACTATTTCGAAAATATTCAGGTTTCCTCACGATGTTTTTCATCGCTGAGCACGTGATAAGTCCAATTAAAATTAACAATTTCATTGGTGCCGGCACCGGGGATCGAACTCTGGTTTTTCGAGTATATTGAATTAAAAGCAAGCGCCCAGACAATGAGCTATCACGGCCCATGTATTTATATAACTACTTTTACTTATATGGCTTTACGATCAACACACAAAAAAGAGAAAGTGTTTACCGTTCTGATAACAGCGCTCTGATGCGATGTCCTTATGTATAGAAAGCTATTTGCGTTACGAATAATAAGCAATACAAAAATTTTAAAACTTTTTCAGAACCATGAAGTTTTAACATAAATCAAAAAGGAAAATGCATTTGATGTCTTATTACGTCAATGATGTATCTAACATACGAGAGCTCCAAATTAAAAAATTGTCATGTTTGATTTTTGCGGACAACGGCTACGATGTCCTTGATGAAACTTGTAAAAAAGCCTAGTAAATTGTTTAAAAAAGATGTTATCACATTCTTGATAATACGCCGTCATGATTTGGGACGTAAGTTCATAATTTCTTCAGAACTATAGAAAATTCAATGATGATTTTTATACACGTCTAGGTTCCTGGTTGAACATTTCGATACGGCGCCATAAGAGGTAGGTACATTAAAATAAATAAGTAGGGAATCGCTATCAGTTCGTTTTGCGTACCAATGTGCACAATTTCTTGTAAAAGCTAACAAAAAAGAGGACAGGGAAGATTTCATCTCATCAGTAATTTTAGTGATTCCATTTGAATAAGTTCAATAAATTATAGGTATTCACATTCCGTGTCAGTCACCATGTGTGTCCTTACTCCTTACCAAGATATTCACTAGAGTTGACTAGAGCCTCAGCGTGTGTTCTGAATATATTCTGTGATTGCATATTCAATAATGGTTTTTAAAATGTGTAATTATTGCTTGTGGTGGCTTGGGTCCGAAATAATTACAACTTAAACGACGGTTCTATTGGTTTCTATGGTAAAGGTGCAGATTAGTGGCACAGGTTTTATTCTCTTATAAATATTTTTAAACGATAAAAAAACGTAGTCATAATTAGGTGTCAAGAGTTAAAATCTGCGATATTGCGTACTTATCTTAAAAATAAATAATAAAACTTATTAACTCCACCGTTACGGAAATACAATACTATTACAAAAAACGCTACTAAACATACGTTTTTACTTTGATGGAAGATACATTATATAGTCATACTGGATACTATAACATATCAAGAACAAATTTCTATTTTTATTTTTTACTGTTGAACATCGTGAATTATTTAAAAGTTAATAGTAGCGCGCCAATATAAAAACAATTCACAACTGCGTATTACAGAAACACCAATAATCAAAATTGTTTTTAAGCTCTTATTTCTGGGTGGTTATAAAAAATAACCACGAAGGTTAAGCGGAGCTCCCGCCTGAACCTTCTCACCTCAATTCTAATTCTATCCGTGTCGGATATGTGACTCATTAAAATTAAAAAAAGTATTATGAGTATTATGTATACGAGTATGCTGTACGCAAAGTAATAAACAAAATATTCAGTGTAAAATTGCAAGATAGTTTTTTATTTTCTCTCTGGAAGTTTCCGTAGATTTTGGTTTTATAGTTTATGTAATATTTTTTTATTGTTTAAAAATATTTATAAGTGAAAAAAGCCTGTGCCGCCAATCTGCACCTTTACCGTTTCTATCCGAGAATTAATAATAATCTCATTATTTATCAATTATACAATGCCACTGACAGAAACGCGTTTTACAAGAAAAATGGAATCAGTTGTTGTAAACATTTTATATGTATTTTGTCGTCTACATAATTAATTGATTTATAAGTTCTGATTTGGAACTTCAGCAGAAGTTCCGCATTTATAATATAAATAGGTATATGTTATTATATTGATATAATATTAGGTGAGAAAGCATTATTGCTTCACGCACGTGAAGACAGAAGTAATTAGATCTGGTAAAACAGGTAAAAGAAATATACGAAATACATAATATACGAAACGGAGTTACACGTGTGCGTAGTTAGGAAGAACCGTATACCGGACTTCCTCGTCATGTTACGTAATATTTGTTTTCGTAGATATCGAAATATTATTCCGAACATATATTCGGTAAATAAATAAAAAGAAAGTTGTATGCAATTTTTATGTGTTTAATAGTTACGTAGTTATTTTCATCAGTTAGGTAAGTACTATTCTTCCTTCAAATATTTAAAATTCTCATATTATATGAGTAGCTGCGAACGTAAAAGCTCTTATTTCTAATTATGTTGGAATATTTGGAACATACGAGTAGGTATATCGTCTTAAAAATAGTAATGTGCCAACTCTGCTGCCACAAACATTCCAAATTTCTCTAGAAACTAGATCGGTCGGCGCAAACCCATCCCAAGTTTGTGAATTTTTCTCAAAAATTTCTAAAATAAGTAAGAATTCACAACGAATGTTTCGCCCCAACGCATAAACTTTCTCGTTCTCAACTATTTATTATAAAACGTTATGAAGCCCACCGGGAAGATACCATTAAATTATTTTATGTAAGTGAAGTAGGTAGGTCTATGTTTAACAAAAACCTGTTTATCCTGAAACGAAACTCTACTTTCCAATATTTACTTAATACCTTTTACTTTGCTAACCTGAAATTAACATGATTTAGATTTAATTTATAGGTAGATCAGTTAATAAAGGTATAGGTATTTTTATACCTTTCAAATAGACATCTTTTCCAAATACTTTCTTCTATACAAATACAAATTTTTATATACAGTTTTGACTAATTTGAATAACAGACTACTTACACAGCTGACACTGAGCTATAGCGTTTAATTGTAAAAAAATATAGTACATACGTACTTATGATCCTACGCACGTAAGAAGTTATACTTTTTTAGCGTAACAAAATAAAAATAACTATCTTCCACCGAAGCTGTTAAGTCACAAGAAAAAGAAGGATAACTAAAAATTTTATCTCCTATGTACCGAAAAGTTTTATCTCATGTGTACCGACAATCTCTTTGTGCAAAAGACATTATATTCGATTAATAGCGGTTTAATTAAATAACTTGGAATTATAGGTAAAATTTGTTATTGGTTGCCATGGTAATACCGTGAAATTGGTCACTTTGCGACCAACTTCACTAGAAGACATGCAGAAATCATCGCAACGAATCAAATCCATATCTGTCATCGTTACGCTTTTATAGCAGTATTTGTAGCCGATGCCGTATATGAAATTATATAGTATTCTAAGTGTAAAGTGTAAAATGTAGAGAATAGGTAAAGGAAACCGAGGTGGTATTTCATACAGAAAATACGAAAACATTTTGCATTATCATAAAATTCAAGAGCTAAATATTAGCAATGTTCACAACAAGTTAATATTGCTAATATTCTGGTACCTCGGGCTGGTGTTGTACGAATGGGCAGGCTCGCCCCGATAAATACAACCACAGGAAACCGGCGTGAGGTAGAGTTTGTATAGATTAATCGTCTTGTGAGTGACGTAAAGGGGCTGAATTCTCTAATGGTTGGTAACGCATCTGCCACCCCAAACAAGTGGTAGACAATGGGCGGCTAACCATAATCACTTTCGGGTGAACCTCCTGTTCACCTACCAACTTGTTTCATGAATTAAAAAAAAAAACTTCTGTTTAGTTGAGTACCACCCTGAGACATAACTGATCGTTTAAAAACTATGGTATTTATTACCACCTAAAGACCTAAACGGTACCAAAAGCTATGGGGTAGTAATATAGGTTTAATATACAGGGAGATTTTTTGAGAAGTGCCCAAATTTACACAGGAGGTTCAGATTCTGCGAGTATAATCGTTTATTGAAATAAAAAACAAAGTTTTTTTTTCAAAAAAAAAAATACCATTCTATTCCCTAAAAAAACAGAACGTTTTGACAATGCGGTAGTCATTCATAAATACCTAAATTTTACTGTGCACGAACTTGTGTGCGTGTTAGTTATGAATGATCGCGCGTAAAATAAATGAGTTGAGTATAAATCACGCACTTTTTGAGATAAGTTTAAATGAATGTAATTAATTACTTACGAGTGATTTTAAATATTTATCATTTTTTATATAACATTATTTATGTCTAGAATTTAATAAAAAAATGGATACTCTTAGAAAAGCCACCCTGTATAATATATCTAATTATTTTCCATAGTTTTATATATAGTACTTATGATCAAATAATTCATGAATCAATGAAGAGATTGGCTTAATTAATTTCAGTATTAGAACAAAGACTGCGCTACGTGGCTGTAAGGCCGACGGCATCAATATCGAAGTTGAGACAGAAAATATGGTATCTGCTTGATCTTCCCGACTATTGTGATGAAATAATAATTCTTAAATCGAACGAGGAGAAAGAAATACCTTTGACAGCACTATGCAGCGGTAACGATCCTCAACATCCTTACATTTTGGAAGTGTGGTTGCCAGATAGGCGAACAAAACGTACGTGTTTTGTATAAATATTCATATGTATGATAAAAGATAGTAAGTTAAATGCAATTTTCATTAATTCAGCTACATACATAATATTTCAAATAGG